CTTCCTTAAGAAGCTTCCTTGAAGGAAACAAACTTGTGACCAAAAATTTGTGCTCTACGAGAATGAGCTGCTGTCGCCCACCCCCCGCCCCCCGGACACACAGCTTTCCTATTGCTGTGCTCCTGCTGCTGGCACCAGCAAGAGCATCTGTGTGCCCTTCACTCTCCTCACCCGGGCAAATGCCCACCCCCCACCCCCCGGACACACAGCTTTCCTATTGCTGCGCTCCTGCTGCTGGCACCAGCAAGAGCATCTGTGTGCCCTTCACTCTCCTCACCCGGGCAAACACTGCATCATTCATAAGTTCTCTTTGAGAATGCCTGTCTGACAAGTTCCACACCCACCTAACGGTAGTGTGAGCTACAGCACCTTTCCCCAGCATTCTGATACTTTCTCAAGAGAAGCTGAATCCAAGAGCCTTATTAAAGTCAAGATAAATTCCATCTCACTTCCCCTGATGGATCAAGCTTGCTACCTGGCTGAAGGAAGAAGAAAAAATTGGGCTAGTTGGGCTGAAACCTTATTTGTCCCCAGGCTGAGTATTTCCTGCTTTTCTCATGAACTCCTGATAGACTGCCGAATTATGTTTCCATACATTCCAATAATTTTCCAAATTAGGCTGACAAATAATTAATTTTATGAATTATTCTTTTCGCCTTTAACATACAGGCATTTCAATTACTCCCTTTTTAGCTTCAAGGACCTACTCAGGCGTTCAGGCTTTCTCAACGATCAGTGCTAATAGCCATGGGATACTTCAAATTCACTGAGTGGGATTCCCAACAGCATACAAGCATTGCTCAGCTGTTGCCCAAACAGCTCTGGAGGAGCTTAGGGCCTGGGCCTGAGGGGCCTGCAGGGGATCCTGTGGGAAGTCATGGCCTGGAGGTGCTGGGAACTTGCAGTTTCTGCTAATTCCAACACAGAGGATTATGAAGTATCGTGAGGCATTCTGTATGAGGCAGGCCATGAGATGCATTTTATATCTAGGGTTCGACTCTGCAGCAAGATTCACTTTAGAAAGTGAGACAAGCTGCTAGCTGTCCCTCCAATATTCATTTCCCCTTTCTTCCTTCACAATGGACAGAAATGTGTCCAGCTGAAAGACCATATTCCAGTCTCTCTTATGCAAAGATAATTCCAGAAATTATAAGAAGTCAGCAGCAAGTGGAACTTCCATGAAAGTTCCTTAAAGGCAGGCATACTTGGCCAAGAGGCACACCCCTGTGCTGTCTTCTCTTTTGCCTTCTAGAATGTGGACATGATAGCTGGCATTGCAGTAGCCAGCTTGTGACCATGAGGCAAATGCTAAAGATGGCAAAGCAAAAAGACAGACGGGTTCTTACTCTGCCACTACATCTCTGCACCTACCACTGCCCACTGCCTGCTCTTCTGATGTGAGAAAAAGAAAAACACTCCTCTGTTTTGTTTACACTGCTATGTTGAATCTGTTTCTAGCAGCTGGACACCATTCCTAACCAATACAGACTGCTGCAAACTCTGAAAGGGCCCCACCATGTAGATGACAATAAGCTCCTCTTTGGGGTGGCCTTGTGTGGGGGTCTGCTAATCCTGTTCGCGACGCCAATTGTAAAGCTACTCGACCACGCCAGTTGTCAGGCTCTTTTACCTGCCGGTAATCCTGCACCAACTGGGCCGATTGTTGAGCCAGGGCTGGGTCTGGAGCTCCGAGACCCCTCAAGCCTGTTCACAGACTGGGTCACAAACCCTTCAGGTGCCAGGCTGGGTCATTAGGCCCCACACATGCCAGGCTGGGTCACCAGACCCCTTCACACAGGTCTCTCTATCTCTCTCTCTTTCTCTAATGAACACAAGAATAGCAACAAAACTAAAAAAAATACATTGGCGCACATGTGCACTAACTCTACACACACACAATTTGCTTTCCATAGACGTGCTGAACCACACCCAACTGGACCCCAGGCGAAGGCCCTGACCAAACTATTCTATTTTTCCAACACCTTGCACGCGTCTATGCATATTCCTCTAAGGGTCCTTACTGGGGAGTCTTTAAAGCGTGCTTATAGTACTGACCTGAGGATAAATGAGCGGGGCTGATTTCTTTTCTAGTTCATGTTCTTATTTCAGTCTTATCTCCCAGCCTAGACTGTAGGTCCCCAAGGTTGATAACATATTAGGCGTCTTCTCTACCCTTGGTGCCAGGGCTCATCCCACAACTCTGAGCACACAGTAGGTGCTCACATCAATTCTTGAATGTCTGTGTTCGATTTTACTTAAATTGGCAGAGAGATTGACCCCAAATCTCTTTCTGTACAACAGCTATTATAGAAACACTCAAATACTGTAGTAGATACTAGTTGTCATAGCGGAAAAATGAATACAGACAACAACAATACGCAGATATTTATATATCTCAGGATTTTTAAAGCCTCCTCTTCACATGTATTGTCTGGCTTTCCTTTCATAGCTGCCCTTGAAGTAGTCAGAGCAGACAGAAATGCCACAATATTATAAACGAAAAACTTGAGGCTCAGGAAGTTAAATGTGCTTCTTGAAGACACATAAGCAGTGAATACTAAGGATCAGGCCTGGATGGACTCCCAGGAAAGGGGTCTTTTGAGGCCATGTATACAAAAACACCTGTGAATGTGTATGTGTGCGAAAATCTCTCTCCCATGCCTCAGTCTCCATCATTGTCTCCTCCTGTCACTTTTCTTCCTGGTGTGTCACCTTCTAGTTAGATCCCTTTTCATCCAGGTCATTAAGTCCTCCCCTCCAGATCTAGACTAGTGCTGCCCCTGTCCTTCCTGCGCCTTCCCTGCACTCTGTTAGACTTGGTGGCCTAACATCCTCTCCTGTTTCTGTCCTACCCTGGGTGGGAATGTTGATTAAAGGACAGAATTAACATGCTTGCTTCACTTTGTTCAGCCATGGTGTGGCCAACTGGGAGGTTTATGAAAAGCAGGGACGGTTGAGCACAGTGACTGCACCCTGAGGCATCCAGAACTGTGGGGCCAACTGCTGTCCCTTGGCTGTGGGCCCCTCCTGATGCCAGCCAAGTGCCTGACCCTGACTTGGGGTCAGTGCCAAGGCCATGTCCAAGGGACAGTGCCCCCATTTTGTGGTCAATAAGTGTTATCACCCCCAATTTGTCCTGGGGCTCAAGCATGTACCTCGAAGAATGTACCTCAAACAAAGGAGGGTCAGAGTGAGTGGGTGCTTCCTGGGGAAGTCTCTGAGGCTGTCACAAGCCTGAGAAATTCTTTCCAGTGGCCCAGGAATGGGTTTAGGGCTGGAGTCTGGGGCGGGAAAGACAACAGGAGACAAAGTACTAAATCCCAGCAAGCTCAGGGGAGAGTTCCCCAGGGGCATTTACAATCCCACAGAGCACACAGGAAGTCTGAAACATGCAGAGAGGAAAAGGCTGAGCCCCTCAAAGGGAGGACAGATGCATCTGTGTTTCCTGAGTGCACAATGAGGAAGTCTTTACACGAGGCTTAGGAGAGGAACATACAAGGAATTCCTCAAGAGTGTGTAAGAAGAAATGCTCTGCAGTGAGTGCAGATATGAATTACAACCATGTCCATTGAGTGCCCCGGGAGTGCTCCGGCTCTGTGTGGCAGCACCAGGCATTGAACACCCAGGCAAGGGAAAGACAGCCCAGCAACAGAAGCTGAGATGTGATGGAAAACTACACATGCAGCATTATGTACAGACTTTAGCTTATGAATAGTTAAAAAGAAAAAAGGAGAGATGATGAACCAGATTAAGACAAAAAGCTAGTTGAAGTCAGGTTCTCACCCATATGAGGAAAACAAATCCTTTCAAGGAGCAAAAGCATATTTCAGTGATTTCTCCATCCAGAGAAATACTTGGATACAGAGGCCGAAGCCCACCTATCATGCCACCGTCTCTAACTGAACCCCCTACCATGACCTGCTAGGCCGGGCAGCCAGTCCATCACTAACCACACCAAAATCTCCTCTGAAGTCCCACTGACATCAGAGGATGCCTACATCGCTCAGAGAACATGTTCTTGACTCAGAAGACTGGATATTAGTGCTGTTTCTGCCATTTGTTGGCCATGCAGTTCAGAACAACTAAATTCAAGCTAGCTAATACTCAGTTTCCTTATGCATAAGTGATTAAGAATGAAACTTGCCCTGTTCTAGCCTACAAACTGTGAGCAATTTGAGAAAGGGTCTGGGCCCCATTCCTATTTTTATACCTAGTCCTACTACACAGGAAGCACTGGACGAGTGCTGTGGATGGCTTTACGACATTCTGTCTGGTCACTTTTTTTTTTTCAGGAGTGGAGGGAGTTTTTATTGATCTAGTAAATTGTCTGCTTGTGTAACTGAAAAAGGCAAAAAAAACCCCACAAAGCACCAGGTTGCAAACTCCATTACCAATAATCAGATTACATCACTAAAAACAAAATTGTAAATCATTATTCTCTTTGAAAAACATTCATAGTATCACATAGAACTCCACAGCAAACTTTACTGCAAAACATACAATTATTCCATTTAGAAAAACTCAGTTCCACAGAACTTTTCAAGAATAAGTGTACCAGTTAAAGGAGGTGTATAGATACTTCCTGCCCTTGAAAAAAGCAGTTGGAATATTATTTGTTTTTGTTTTTTTTTCCCAAAAAAGATGACCAGTAAGGGGATCTTAACCCTTGACTTGGTGTTGTCAGCACCACGCTCACCCAGTGAGCTAACCGGCCATCCCTATATGGGATCCGAACCCGGGGCCTTGGTGTTTTCAGCACCACACTCTCCCGAGTGAGCCACGGGCCGGCCCTGGAATATTATTTGTCTCCTTTCTACAGCATTGCTTTAGTTTAGGAATGGGTGGAGAGATTAAATTAAACACGTAATGTATTTTCTTCTAAATGCACTGTAGAGGATGGAATCCTTTATTTTTATTTCTAACACACTCCAATCAAATTTTGCAAACCCTGCTCCCCCAAAAAGATAGCACGACCTTGTGGTTTTGGAAAGCAAGCTTACCTCCTTGTAAGGTATATTCAGTCACTGCCCTGCTAAAGACTCCCAGGCCAGCACCATTGTAAGCTGCCACCTGTATTTCATACTGTGTCCATATAATCAGGTCTGTCACCAGGCAGTAGTTCACCTCAGGGCTGGTGATGTTCCTCTGCTGATACTCCCCAGGCAGGCCGGCCAGGCGGTATCTGCAACACAAAGGAAGTCCATGATGGAAGAGAAATAATATGAAACAGGAATTGGGTTTGCCCACGTTATTTTGCATGGTTAGAAGAAAATAGAAGTAAATAAACAGAAGCAGAGCTGAGAGGTCTGCCTCAGACAACACCATATCCTAATTCAACAATTTTTAAAAATATAAACTAATCTCACAGTGATTATAAACTCTGGGCAAAACAGAGCTGACATTTCAACTACAGTACAGTTAAGGAAAAATTACAGCTTTTTAAGTGTAACTTGTCTAGGGAGTAAAGTGACTTAGTACCAAAAATTCCAGACACGATTTCCATCACGGTGTTGCTGTAGATCAGTATGAGAAACACTTTCCTTTTGTGACGTTGAAATGTGGGGAGAAATCAAGAAGCAAACAGCATGTGGCCTCTCGGTCTCCACAGACTAAGCTCCCTGCTCTGTTTCCCTCTAGGAATTCGAGATTTGTCTAAGTATATCCCAGAGCTAGAATAAGTGGCTTTGAAAAGGTGTTAACACTTCTAAAATACTAGTCCAATGCTAAGTATGACGAATTACTTTTCAGGGGACCTTTGTGAGTGCTTGGGTAGTATATGTTCTTCAGTGTAGTAAAGGAAGAAATTTAAAGTTGTGTTTATTAAAAAAGCGACTTACACAACTCTGGACTTAGAAAATGTATAAAGTAGGAAATTGCTACTTGTACTATAAAAGGACTTTTAGGGCATTTTTTGATTAGTAAATGTTTTTCCATGATTCAGTTTATAGAAGTTAATGAACTGCACTCACTAATTCAGTTAATTTATTGAGCTTTTATGGATCAGTCCCCCTGGGGAAAGTGAGGGACATGTACAGTGGAGTAATTTCCTAGTCATCCTGCACAGCTTCTGAAAGCATCTAAATTCTATCCCAGGAGAGGTTCTTCTCTCAGGAAAATGTGGCTTTGTATGATAAACGGAAAGGGGAAAAGACTGATGAGGGATCCAAAAACAAAACGGCAGAAATAAATCTGTTAACTTTTTATGGCATGTTGGAATCTTTGAGCCACTGAGCTTTGGCCTCTATGGGTTGCAGATTCTTCATCAGTTACCTGCACTGTCCCACAGGCCAGAGCACCTGAGCACAGAGGAGAAGGATCTGAAATAGACACACATGGACCAGTATGGCTGGTCCGTGGTCTGAGATAGATACACACCAGGGCACCAGTATGGCTGTCTTTATCAGAAAAAAGAAGAAACTCAGAAACGCACGCCCTTAAATGTAAGAAAACTTTCCAAAAGAGAATGATGGCTGAAAATGCCATAAGAAAGCAGAGAAACGGCAATGAATGTTTCTTCACAAAATCAGGATTTTTGAGAGTACCTTTCATCCCCTCTTGTTACAGACCATTTGCACTTGGTGAGAGGTCTGTTTGATAGGAAACATAAATGATCAAGAGCAGAGAGCACTCGAATAGCCAGAAGGTCCAAGACCTACTTCTCCCTCTTTCCTGAAAGGAGTAAACAGCCTGAAGAGGGAAAGTGTTATTCTGTGATGGGCAAAAATGAGAGTTAAATTATCAGACCACATTTTTGCTTCATATTCCATCCACTTCTGATACCTACTGAATTGGCATTCCTTTACTGAACTACCTACAGCAAGCAAGTGCAGGTGCAATTCACAGCGGGTGTTCAGTTCATTTATAGAATGTGATAGTTCTCAAGGCAGTGGGCCACAGGGAGAAAGGCTAGGAATGAATTAACCCATGTGAAAGACATTTCCATTTAAATTCCCTATCTAAAGATAAACTTTTAAAATAAATGGCACTGAGACAATTATACAGCCCAGTTGGAAAAATGTAAAACTTGGGCATGAGAATGGCACCACAGATCACCCATAATCAGTATGACACATGAACTTGACCTCTTGAGAAGGGTTTGCTCATGTGGACCCATCACTATACGATATACATTCCAGGGGAAAGCAAAGAAATTACCATCAGAAGATTTTGGCTGAGGTCCCCACTCAGCTACTTTTGAGCTGGTGATCTTAGGCAAATTCTTAACTTCTCTGAGCTTTGGTTTCCATCTCTCTAAAATGGGAATTATAATAACGGCATTTTACATGGTTGCTGCAAGAACCAAATGAAACAATGAATGTGAAAGAGATTTGGAAGTGTAAAGCACCTACTAAACATTAAACAAACAAACAAACCCACTGCTCTTCTACGAAGAAGTGTAGAAGAAAGAGAAATCTTGGAGTTATGCTAAACTGGTTGCATGATGAGCCACCCGTCTTCTCCCAGGGTACTCTTCATGCAACTGTGAAAAACACATTGCAGAATTTACATCTTCAGAATGGGCTATGCCTCCTTCTGGAACATGTAGGTTGGTGCATTCTAACCGGTGGCCGAGGGTGCTTTTGTAGTATTCACAGGATGTCTAAGAAGGTCACAATTAATAACGAAAGTGCAGGGCCTCCTCCTCTTACTGGTAGGATATGCTGCCCAGGAGACCGTCTTGGCTAGAACGAGATGATTTTTGTATACAGAAATTACAGGAGAATGTTTCTAAAGGACATAACCCCTATGATCCTCACAAAGAAACACCCTGCCTATTATTATAAATATTTTATTACTGCACATGCATCCTAAATACTTCTTCTGGCTGAAGCCATGAAGGTGATTTATTTCCATTTGCTCTTCCATGTATTGTGCCTCAGATCTGACACAGAGACTGTGCCCTGGAGGATACAAACTTGCAAACAGAGAGCTGATTTGCAGACTAGAGGATTATTTGGAAATGTTTCCAAGCAAATTCACTTTGGCATGGGTCTTTAATTCTGAAAACTTTGATATTCACAGGACTATGGTAGAGCACACTCATTTTAGGGCTTTTTTGATTTAAGCTCCTAAAAATACAGATACCACCTTCTTCAGCACTCAATTCTACTGGCTCCATCATGGAAAATCCTTTTAACAGTAGTAATCCTACAAATAGAGAAATGTGCAGTCCCTGATGTGGCCTCATAACATCAGAGAGATTTTATTATTAAACTTTGTGCCCCGAGCCTGCTTCTGTGGGATGACTTTTAAAGTCCTTACTTGACAGCTTCAGCCTAAGGAAACATTTCCCCCACGTGCTGAAAAAAAGCTGGGATGACAAGCATGTGCGGGGCTGGTTAGAGAGGGCAGGCCAATTATTTTCATTAGTTGATGGGTATGGAATAAGAGGTAATGGGCTTAAAGCTGGAGCCAGAGCAAGAAGCATGAATGTGACGGAAAACCTCAGCCTTCAAGCAGTAGGAAGCACCAGGATATTTTCTGGAGAGAAGAAACATCAAGCAATTGGGAATTATTCCAGAAGCATCAACAGGAACCAGAGTCCACAGGCCCCGTGCCCATAGGGGACAGAATCTCAGTCTCCTCTTTGTCCTTCTTTGAAAGAGGGAAGGACAGTTGGGACAAGGAGACAAAAGGGGCCCTGAGTGCTGATTCTAGCCCCTTGCGCTCCCCCAGGGATGGCTCATTTAAACCACTTCAGGTAAATAATGATCTGGCTTAGAGAAGAATTCATATCTTGAGGAAAAACTTGAGAACAGCAATGAGTTGGTTGTGATAGGCAAATATTACATGTGTATAGATAGACATGTATTAAATGATGAATGGATGATTATATAAATATATATATTGGGAACAAGCTGTCCTTCATATACAAAGATAATAGAGTTAAAGAAGCAACACTTTCACAACTTCTTACATTTATCTAAGAAATTAAATTCATCCACTTAAGACCTTTGTTAACCAAGTATTTACTGATCATACACTCAGAATGAGCCCAGGGTAGGCATTTGGAGGAAGAGAATAATGGATACCTACAGTTATTGTCTCAAAAAGGCTGATAAAATTAACAAATACATCCACAGCAGTACAATCTATTAGAAGAGATTTAATAATTATCCTTTAATACTGCTTTTTTTCTTTTTACTTGTGTCAACAAACCACTGCAATTATCACATTCAGTGCAATTTTAAAATTAGTAGATTTGGCAAAGGAGATTTCTTCTGTCAAACACAGCCAAGTTCTGATATTAGTTCTTTGAAATACTGTTAGAAGCTTAACCACCCTTTTGGGCAGAGACAGCAAACTGGCCACCCTTCAGCTATAACTGGCCTGTGGATATGTGCATTTGGCCTGCCCTATGTTTCGAAATACATTGCTTTCATTTGTTATGTCTAAAAATTGTCAGATTGTATGTAAAATCCTAGATTTTTGGATTTCCTTGTAATACAAGAAGATCTGGCAATACTGCGCAACATACTAGCATGGTAACAATTAGCTATAATAATTAAATCTAATTATTATTGTTTTTAATTATGTTTAATAATATGTGCCCCTGGGGAAAACTTAAATGGAATTAAAGGATTTACAGTGAAAAGCACACCTTGCTCCCAACCCATAATACCTCCCCTCCATTCTTTTCCCAAAAAGCAATGGCTGGTGCCAGTCTTGTGTGTATACTTATACTTTATGGTTGGAAGTGCACAGAATGTCTCAGCAAGGCTGTCCACAGGAGCTGTGCTCTCCGGTTTGCTGCAGTCTCCACTACTCCCTAGTTTCACACTGGCCTGATCCTCCTGATTACTGTTTGGCTCCTACAGACATTTGAGTTTGCAACCTTAGTGAAACAGACACTTGACGCTTTATAATGACTGTGTAGAAATGGCCAGTCACAGGTTACTTGCCTGAGGATGTAGCCATGCAGCACTCCATTGTGCTCCGTTTCCGGGGGCGGCTGCCATTGCACCATGATGGACTGATTAGTACGCCCACTGGCCACTATATTTTTGGGGGGAGCACTGGGTGGTTCTTCAGGTAACATCAGCCTAAAAATAAAAGATGAGCATAAGAGTGATGAGTGCCAGAAACAAAGGATTCTCATTTGCATTCTCTATCTTGCTGAATCTTGAGCCTGACTATTTACAAAATTTGGGTGACAAGAAAACCAAAACACACATGATCAAACTGAAGGGATGTGTGTGAAATAGTTACAACAAGTCAACATAATAGAAAATCAGTTAAGCAAGCAACAAGGAAGACACAGGAGGTAACCTTATTCTGTCTCCATAACTCAGTGCCTCAACTCTTTAAAAAGATTACAAGCTTTAATGAGCCAGCTCACAGGCCTGAAGTCTGAGACTCTTTCCAAATTGTTTTCTTTGGCTCTTTCAACATTTCTCATATCAAACTCCCACATTTTGAAAAAAGTCATTTAGATTACAACTATTCTACAACTAAAGCCTTTTGAAAGCCCAGGTTGGCTGGGGAGGACTCCCTGAGATTTGATGGAGACACTTTCCCATGTCACATCTGAATGAGCTTCTGAAGCAGCCCTCCCAGGGATGAGTGAGCATAAAGACCACTCAGGAATGCAACACTGCCACAGAAACAATGGAGTCATTCAGCTACCCTCACGACACCCTGCTAGGTGTTTACTTGTCAAGATGGTGGCACTAGCTGCCACCCTGCTGGCAGTCAGGGTGGATAAAGGACATGGAAAACACATAAGCTGTTAATTTCCTGTTTACAGAGGACTATGCTATCAGGAACGACTTACGTAGGGACAGCCAGGACACCACAGGAGAAATCCAAGAAACCTGCCTCAGAGCAATTCAGGAAAACCCAGCTAGTCCAACACATGACTGTTTTCTCTCTTTGTGACAGACTTTTCTGCTCACATTTTTGCCAATATCCCTAAGTGACTCAGGGTGATTACTTTGTTCAATTTCCTCCACCTAATACAATGCTTCTATTTAACTTTCAGGACCAAGCTGCTCCTGTCACCACAAAGAGGGATGGGCTTCACACACCTGCTCGTCTCAGCGCTGTACTGGCCCTTGCCCACTTGATTCACTGCACACACCCTGAATTGATAGGTGCGAGCTGGAGTCAGGCCACTCACAGTGACGCCTGTCATCTCGGGGCCAACATTTGACAGATGCACTTTCCATGGAGAGTCTAAAAGAATGAGCAAAACAAAATCAAACCCACATAAACTCATGTCTGAATGATAATAAGTGAATGCAAATGTGTTCCCATAAATTATCTCATTTGCTTACCAAGACAGCTCCAAGAGAGGGAGTGGTTACCCCCGTTTAACAGATGTGGAGACCAAAGCTCATGGTCACATGGGTAGCAACTAGGATGCCTGGTGTGAAATTCAGGGTTTCCTACCCCAAATCTAATGTGCTTTCCATTTCCCCCATGCTGCCATCAACAAGTAAAGGAATTTTTTGTTCAACCTGCATATGGCAGTTTTAAAAGAACCAAAATATTCCTGATTCAATATGTAATGGGAAAAGTTCTCTGTCGGCTCACATGGTTAGGCAGATTGCAGATTTGTTTCCCAGAAAAGGATGCTGCACATGCCACTGAATGATAAATAAAAACTATATTCATTAACATTTTAATAAAAGAGGAAATGAGCATGATAAAGACAGATGGGCTGCGCATTTTACAACCCATCTGTGTGGCAGCCCATTACACCACCACACCCCTGTGTGCCTTTGGCTGGAGAGAGGCATAATGAAATTCACACTAGTTTCAAATATCTTTCCACCCAACTTTCCGGCAGGTGTGGAAGAGCAACTCTGTCAGCCGCAACCCATCTGTGTGGCAGCCCATTACACCACCACACCCCTGTGTGCCTTTGGCTGGAGAGAGGCATAATGAAATTCACAGCTAGTTTCAAATATCTTTCCACCCAACTTTCCGGCAGGTGTGGAAGAGCAACTCTGTCAGCCAAATGGGCTCTTACCCGCAAGGCATCAGAAGGTTCTGCTGGGGATCCTACACCTTTGCAAGATTTTTTTTACAGAGTTTACACATGCTTTTCAGCCCAATCATTTTGCAGAGTGATGTCCTGGAAAGAACAAGATCTGGCAATGACTTCGAGCATCCACTATCAGTTCCCTTTCTGAATTGCAATGATGCCTGAATTGCATTTTCAAGTTATTAGTGAAGTGAAATATGGGGGAGGGAGGATTCTTGTGGAAATAAAAATGTCTTTCTAGTTCCTCTGAAGTGGTGCTAAAAATCCCTCTCACTCACATTGGAGATGGTCAAAAAGAGGCGGCATATGATTTCCACTATGGTGTTAGGCTATGCTCAGATTATAGACTATCCAGCTGCATGTAAACTCCACACATAAAATCACAGCCTCTTCTCCCAAAA